CGGGGGCGGGCGGTTACAGGGCTCTGTCCTCCTGCCTCCGGTCCTGCAGAACATCCACAAGGCGCCGGAGCGTGTCCGTTTGCTCCCTCATTAGTCCAAGCAGCGTTTGAGTCGCCTGCTGGTCTTCCTGCCGCCACCTCTCCTCCCGTTCCATGTGTGCTCGGTGCATTTGGGACAAGTTATCCCTTCACTGGGTCTGCTGGGCTGCCTGGGCTCGGGAGCAGCCCATAAGTTCCGAGAACATGTCCTCCCGTGTCCTCTTCTTCCTACGCCTAATCTGCGCTAGCCTCTGGGAGTGTGATGCCAGGCTAGGTTGGGAGACAGTCGCAGCTGTGGGAATGCGAAAAAGGGAGTGAATTCCTCAGAAAGATAAATTTAGTTGTGAACAAAGAACATAGTCTTTCTCTGTGAACAAGACCATGCACAGCACCTATCACATGCGCACTCAGGACAAGGTCGAATTTTCGGCCCTCGCATTCAGTGCCTGGGGTCTTGCAGTGCAGATCAGAGAAGCGGGGCAGGACACCGGAATTTGTGTAGCAGGCCGACATGGTAAGCCGTAGACTTGTGGCTGCTTAAAACTTTAATAGTAGCACTGGCCTCCTTTCACATTGAAAGCAATGCCAGTCCCTGCTGCCAGCAATCCGGCAAGCATGAACTCTGCCCCTGTCCCACCCCCTCGCGGCTGTCCCAGGGAAAGATCCCTGTATGCTGCCCCTCTCCTGCCTCCACCGCGTGGCTGTAAACCGCCGGTTACAGTTCTGTAAAGGAACAGGCAAGCAGTCCCAATACTAACATTCCCCTACCTAATTCAAAGCAGGTCACCATGAGCGACATCACTCTGATGAGGATTTCAGAAACGGAAAAAGAGAGGATGCTTCGGGAAAGCCTGCAAAGACCAGGGCCGTATGCCGCCATGCTCTGCAGGGCAATGATCCCGGAGTACTTGCTTCTCTCCTGGCGTGGAAATGTTTGCTACTACGGAGGACCCAATAAGGCCGCTCTCCCCAGGAACCTGATGCAAAGGCTTTCCAATTACCTCCAGGAGAGCTTCGTGGAGATGTCCATGGAGGATTTCAGCTCTATCCCCGGACATATAGACCGCATTTTACTGTAGCTGCACTGGCAGGGACTAAACAGTAGAGCGGCTTGGGCAGAACAATCATGCTAAACCGGACATTGTTAGATTTTTTTCAGTAGTTGCACTGCCAGGGACTGAAAAGTTAAGCGCCTAGGGCAAAGTAATCATGCAAAACCCATTGTTAATATTGTTAATATTCCTGTTCTGTTAAAAATAAATGTTTAGATGTTTTAAACACTTACTGAGTGATCCTTCCCCTGATTCTGTGTCCAGGTTAACGGCTGGGGACGGTTGGTAGGGGATCTCTGTAAGGGTGATGAAGAGATCCTGGCTGTCGGGGAAATCAGCGTTGTAAGCGCTGTCGACTGCCTCGTCCTCCTCATCTCCTTCCTCATCTTCCCCGTCCGCTAACATGTCCGAGGAAGCGGCCGTCGACAATATCCCATCCTCAGAGTCCACAGTCACTGGTGGGGTAGTGGTGGCGGCCGCACCTAGGATGGAATGCAGTGCCTCGTAGAAACGGGATGTCTGGGGCTGGGATCCGGAGCGTCCGTTTGCCTCTTTGGTCTTCTGGTAGCCTTGTCTCAGCTCCTTGATTTTCACGCGGCACTGCGTTGCATCCCGGCTGTATCCTCTCTCTGCCATGGCTTTAGAGATCTTCTCATAGATATTTGCATGCCGTCTTTTGGAGCGCAGCTCGGAAAGCACGGACTCATCGCCCCACACAGCGATCAGATCCAAGACTTCCCAATCAGTCCATGCTGGGGCCCTCTTTCTATTCTGAGATTGCACGGCCATCTCTGCTGGAGAGCTCTGCATCGTTGCCAGTGCTGCTGAGCTCGCCACGATGTCCAAACAGGAAATGAGATTCAAACTGCCCAGACAGGAAAAGGAATTCAAATTTTCCCGGGGCTTTTCCTGTGTGGCTGGTCAGAGCATCCGAGCTCGGACTGCTGTCCAGAGCGTCAACAGAGTGGTGCACTGTGGGATAGCTCCCGGAGCTATTAGCGTCGATTTCCATCCACACCTAGCCTAATTCGACATGGCCATGTCGAATTTAGCGCTACTCCCCTCGTTGGGGAGGAGTACAGAAGTCGAATTTAAGAGACCTCTATGTCGAACTAAATAGCTTCGTGGTGTGGACGGGTGCAGAGTTAATTCGATGTAACGGCGCTAAATTCGACATAAACTCCTAGTGTAGACCAGGCCTCAGAAGAGTCTTGAGAATGACAGACATGAATAAATCTTCTTAGGATCTAAGTTCATTGCAATAAGAAAAAGACCCCCCGGCCTTTGATTTATCCCAGATCAGCAACCACAGAGGTTCTTCTGTATGTAAACACATATCCCATGTTTAAGACTGAAAATATGCTCTTTTCAACTGGTCTCCAATATTCATGCTTTAGCCTCTTATTTCATTATAAGTACAAGAGGTTTAGGCTGGTGGCTGAGGGAAATCTTCAAAATCCAGAAATGCAGCCATGTATTAGGCAGCTCTGAAAGAAACTGAGTTTGAAGCAAGATTGCCACATGAACTGATTTTGGCCAACTTCATGAAAATCAAATCCTGTTTATTAAAAAAAAAAAAAGAAGTGCACACTGATTAAATACTCTAAACTGTTAGTAACTCCATGTGTGTCTGCATCTCATTAGAATACCTTGAGATGGGACTGAGAAGCAAAGTTCAAATCTAGATCTGGATCCAAACTTCTCCAAAGTTGGAGAGGGTTGGAGCCTGTATTCTGCTGTGGAGCCATATCACAGAGTTGGATCTGAGCTCGGATTCAGATCCACAAAATTCAAGGGGTTCTGGAATCAATGTTCTGGTTTGCGCCCATCTTTAAAATAACCACCAACCCAGCTGACATGGTGAATCCAGTTGATGCCAGCCCTGAACCCATAGGAAACTGTTTTGGGATGAATTTTGATATTCTCAAAGATGTGGGTAGCCATAAAATATGTCCAAATAAAACTAACAGCAACTCTTCAAACAAAAATCCTCTCTGTGACATAACTCCATGCAAAATGACAGGAAACCACAGGACTTTTCAACAATTGCCTGTAGTATAAACACAGAGCTAGAATTCAAAAGACAGAGGAACAAAATTTCAGAGAACATTTTGTCTCTGCTGCTGGAACTAAGAACAAACTAAATTCTGTCTGGCTTATCAAATTTTAAAAATGCACATAGATACTCAGTCTTTTGGCTTGATTCTGTTACCACTGAAGTCACTGGGAATTTTGCCATTGGTTTCAATGGGTGCAGTTTCAAACCATCAGAGAGACTGGGGGGGGAGGGGGGAGCGGAACCTGTTGATCTGGAAGTAGAGTGATGTATACTGTACTAAAATTAACTGGAAGAGTGGATTAAATCTGCATTCATAAGTAAGAATAAGACTGCCTGTATCTGAATAACTCTTTTGTAGATTGTATACTTGTACCACATCTTTTAATCCATTCTATTGCTTTCCAAAAAGTATGAGACAATAAATAAATAAAAAATTACATAATACAAACTAGAAAAGTGTATGAATATATTTTTCCTGCAGTCATAGGAAGCTATAAGATCAACCTTCCTATAACAACAACAGGAATCTTCAGAAGTTAATTTTTCCACATGTCTGTATGTCTACACTACAGGATTAATCCGAATTTAGATAATTCGAATTTGGGAAACAGGTTGTAACCTTGAACCAACTGCAGGGCTGACAACAGGGATGAGGGTAAGGGGGACAATTGTACCAGGATCCCAAGCTTCAGAACATCTGTAACATTTGTGTAAATAAAATGAAATGGGAGGGGGTGGGACCCCAGTGAACATGATGTTCCAGGGCCCCAAATTTCTCTCAATGGCCTGACCCACTGTAAGATTTTACAAATAAGGTATTTAGTAGTTCTGCTCAGCTAGCTAGGGCAAAATCCTGGCTTAAGTGGGAATTTCCCTGAGTAAACACTGAATATAAATTTAGGATTTCATCTCAAAAGTTTAAAGGGACATTGTCAATTTAAAAACCAGCCTTTGGTATTTTTTAACCTACTATTGTTTGTTACAAGGGTTATTATAACTGAAATACATTAGACAAAACACTGCTTTTCAATTTTTCCCATTGTTTTTTCACTTTGGGCAAGATTCTGATATTGTTACTCTGCAAGTAGTCTTATTTAGGTCAAGGAGACTTTTTGTGGAGTACAATGCTACTCTACATGAGCAGGGGCAACTGAATCTGGTCCTCTATGCATTTGACAGCACTTTATATCAATTTCAACTGTTCTCCCAGACTAGCCAGTTTCCCTGTTGTTTGCATGGGTCTTTCACACAGCAACAAGGGAGAGAAAAACATTTTTTAAATAGGAAAGTGTGATTGAAAAACAACAAAAATTGGCAGGGAACTCTCTCAGGTATACTAGGTGGAACTACTTGTACTCATTTTTCAAAATGAATAGTTTTCAAGTTGACATTCTTTTAAAATACTGAAAAAGAACCTGATAATGTACAGTGTGTTGTTAGCAAATACTCTGAATGTTAATGACATTCTTAGGGATGAATTAGCACAATTTGATCTTAACTTTGCCACTTGTGAGTTATGTAGTTATCCCTAACTCATGGAATAATGAGGCAAATTCGTTGTCCACAGTTGCAGCAGCATCTATATATACTTAACTGTTTATAAATATGATGGCTTGAATGAAAAGGGTATATCAGATTAGTTAATGAGGTGTCTAACCATATATTATAACTGCAAAGTTTGGGACAGGTTAGTCAAGTTATGTTTACAAAAATGTATTTTTGGAAAATAATATACTCACTTCAAGAAGTGAAGTTATACAGGAATATCCACATTTCTCAGGTGGCAGAATAGATTCACATATTTATACATATCTATTAGTGTGTAAAAATATCAACCACCCCAATGCTTACGGTTTCACAGTTCAAACATCTAGTTTCGTTAGTCAGTGTTCCCTGAAAAATCTCATGCACCCAGGTGAGTTCTTGTTTATTGTTCTCTTCAGCTTCATTCATGTTGCCATTTTTTAGTTTCCCATTTTGCTTTTCCTGCTTCTTCTCTTCCTGCAGGATGTCTGCAATGGTGTTTAGCAAGTAATTTAAAAATTCATGTGCATCTTGCTGCATGTAGTTGTCAAAGAGATCTGCAAAGGAGAGAAGAAGAATTGTCTCTTTCTAAAGTTCCTTTGCTCCATGCAGGAAAGGATATATCTAAATTCAGGTTTTGCTCCCAAATACAATTACAAGCTCCAATTCAGGAACATACTTTAAAACCTGCCTAATTTAAGCTTGTGAGTAATCCCACTGACTATGTGCACTATGTTAAGAATGTGCTTAATTGGGGCAATAAAAAACATGGGTGAGGATCGAGGGTGGGAGAGTCTGACACAAAAAGATGTGGGTTTTTTTTCAAAGGGATATTGTTTTCCCACAGTAATTTGGTAAGTGCATTGCTCCTGAAAACATTTCCTGAATTTTTGTTTCTGTCAATAAAGCTCAATAAATAATGGGCCAGATGGTGCGCACACATGCACAGTCACAAACCAGAAGGAAACTCATGGGAGGCATCTCTGTGGTGATGTCATATGAAATGCTCCCATTTCAGAATTTCCTTTGAATTTTTCCATCAGCAGCTTGGTTTGCCCCTATCCCGCTCTCTGTCAAAGAAGCAGGAACTTCTGTTCCCCAAATACATGTATTTTTATCTCCTACAACCCCCTCCAGCCAAGATACATGTGAATCCCTTCCCAGGGGGTTCCATCAGAGGCACAGGGCTATCTGTATGTAGACCCTCTGCATTGTCTCTTGGGCCACACCCACTGATATGGCTCCCATGCAGAATGAAACTGTGTTACCAAGACTGCCTCCTCCTCTGATGCCCTTAGAGGGGAATCTCCCCAGATGGAGTGGGCACCATTGCTCCTGTGAAGTCACTATTTCTGGGACTGGGAGGAGCAGCAGATGTAGCTCACTGCGTGTGTAGGAATGTGTTGTTCCCAAATCGTATGCCCAGGAGAACGGCAAACTGTTCCCTTGGCAATGAGGCAGGAGTGACCTTGTCCTAGCGTATATGTTTGGAAAACTTATTGGCAACCTGACATCACCCTTGCAGCTGGTGTTCACGCGCTCAAGAGATGGGTTTGTAATCTCATGTGCATGTATACTGCCTGCCTTCTGTTTGTGCAAGAATGTAACCACTAAGAACTGTTGTAAACAAAGTAAGGAGAAGAATAAAAACCCCAGGAAAAGTTTTCCTGGGAGGCTTTTTGAAGGAGGCTTTTGAAGCTCTCTAGCTACCACAGACCTGGTGTTCTATTTCCTTTCCTGCGTCGTCACCACATGCGTGCATGCACATACTGAACCCCAGGATGTTTTGGGCTAATGGATCTGTACTATCCACAAAGCTACTGGTCACACCTCATTCACTCTTTCAGCTGCCCAAAATATCCATCTCCATGGTACTGTATAGAAAGCCACTGCAGAGCACTCCTCTGCAGTGTGCAGAGCCCCTCATCCAGACCCAACTGCCTGCTGCTGGCTTTCTACAGCCTGCCCCTCCATGCAGTGGAAATATCAATAGAGCAGTTGTGCACCCATGGAAGATTTGGCCCTTAACTGCAAATCCTAGTATAGTTATTGCCAACTACAACACACACACACGTATACACTAAATAATTAATATTTAGGAAACAAAGCATTAAAAGGTTATTACAAATCTAACCTGATTGTTTGATTAATTTGACCACACTGTTCAATGTTTTTACTTTCCTAGGCATTACATGAGTCTCTGAAAAGAATCAGAGTTTGCACTCACCATTCTCCTTTCGTAACCTTGAAATGAACTTCTTTGGTGGAATCACTCCAACTTTTTTCTTCTGAGTAGCAATACTGTGGAAAAGGTCTGCCAGGCATGTCAAGAGGTTTTCCTTCTTTTTCTGTTGGGCCTTGTATGCCAACACATTCTCCCGAAATGGCCGGCAAAAATACAATGCCTGCAGCACAGAGTTACAGTAGCAGGTGTTCCCAAACTGCAAATGTAAAAGCAAAAATGCCCTGAATCACTGTGCAAGGTAATATAAACTAATTACTTCATCCAGCCTCTGCAATCTGCATCCCCAGTAGAATACCCCATCAATTACCACACCGGTGTTGACTGAATATAGGTTCAGTACCATTTACTGATTGTCACACAGCAAAAAAAAAGTATAAATATTAAAATTTCTTAACTGACTAGGACTAAAAATAAAAGCTCCAAATGTAGGGCATTATTTAAAAGGTATTCACTGCAATGAGAGTATCTTTGATAAGAGTTCCTATAAACGAATATGCTCTGGAATGGCCCACTCCTGTTCCCACTGAAATCCATGGTAGAACTCCCAGTGACTGCAATAGGAGCAGAACTTAAATTGGTTTCATTCGGGACATGAAAAACACCCTTTAGACTGGATGCTTTCGCTCATCCGCTCTCCATAAGGTGAATAACGCTTTTTGACAGATACATCTAAGCATATGCCAAATTTTAACCATGTAAATACTCCATTCCCATTGACTTCATGCATCCTGATTTAAAAAGGTAAATATCAAAGTGGGGTTTTAATAGCTAGAAAAAGATATTATTTAATTTTACTTGGGGTCAGGGAAAGAAGTGGTTTATAAAATGTTAAAACTACTCAGATTTCACTAAGCTGTTCTCCTCAAATGGTAGATGTCCTAAAATGTTTGACTTAGCTGCAACCAACTTTCAACATATTACCTAAAATTTCCCCTGGAACACTAGGAGCACCCTCCCAAATTCTAGCCTTAAATCAGTGCTGCACTGGAGGTCATTGAAATTAAAGCAGCATCAAACCATAAAAGAGTCTATATGGTTCTCATTACAACTGCTCAATATAAAATAGTATACGGTTCACCTTACAGAAATGGTACTTACATTGACCAACCCAAAGTAGTGTTCATTGATTGGAAACTGCTCTGGACCAATGTCTTTTTCCAGAGCAGAGGCATTGGTGCCCTAAAAGGGGGGGAAAAAAGCCAATTATCCTCCATTTCAGATTCCAAAATAAAGTTATGAATAATCATCCGATGGAAACCATTTCCCCTTTCTTGGGAAAAATTAATCAAGCTAAAGCTGGCCTTAGGAATGGACAACCTGGGAGCTGCTTAGGCCAATAAAGATATTTGCATTTCTAGATAATTGCCTGGCTGGCCTGATCCTGTAGTCTCAAGTAATGGTTGATTTAAGGTGAGCAGGACACTCTATTGATAGCCTCCCCACCATACCTTCCCTGCATGAAGGAGTTCATGTGGTTTGGGGAGAGGCAGAGGAAACAGTGTTCATTAGTTGTATTCCAACTGAGATAAGTAAATGAAAAGCAGAGTACAGGATCCTTCCTTTCTGAGACAGGGAGTTGGAACTGACAACCACATAGTTCCCTCTACCATTATCTATTGATAATTCTATCATCCAAAAGCCCAGTCTGTTTCCCTGCTGTATATAACATGCCAATATTTTAAGGCCAGGAGGAACCGCTATGACGGCCTCTTCTACCTGCATAGCACAGGCCATGGAATTTCACCAAGTGAATCCGCATCAAGCCCATAACTACAGCATATCTTTAAGAAAGACATCCAGTCTTGACATCCAGACTTCAAGTGATGGAGAATCCACCCCATCCCTAGGCAACCTGCTGCAACACATCATAACCCTCACTGTTTAAAAATTGCACCTTATTTCTAGTCTGAATTTGTCTAGTTTCAGCTTCCAGCCACTAGATCTCATTGTGTCTTTTTCTGCTAGATTAAGCAGCCCTTTATTAGATACAGTCCTCTAATATCAGGCACTTAAAGATTCTGATCAGTCACTTCTCAACCTTCTCATAGTTACACTAGTCTCTCTATAAGGCAGCTTTTTAATTAAGATTGTAGTTCTTTTCTGAACCCTTTCTAATTTGTCACCATCTTTTTTGAAAGTGTGGACACCAGAACTGGACACAGTTATTCCAGCAGTGATCTTATTAATGCCATATGCAATGGTAATGCCATCTCCCTTTTTCTATTCAATATTCCCAGGTTTATAAATCCAAGGATTATGTTAGGTCTCTTAACCACCGCATGGCATTTGGAGCTCATGTTCAACTAGTTATCCACCATGGTTCCCAAGTTATTTTCAGAGTCACTGCTTTGCAAAGTACAGTCCCTGATTCTGTAAGGGTGACATACATGGATCTATTTTGCCTGGGATCAGTGTCAGGCTAATCAGCCTATATTTACCCGGGTCATTCCTTTTACCCTTTTTAAATGCTGGCACAACATTAGCGTTTTTCCAGGCCTCTGGAACTTCCCCAGGGTTCCAAGATTTGTTCAATATAAATATTACTGCCTCAGAGAGCTCTTCAGCCAATATCTTTAAATATGCTGGTTATAGGTTTCAGTGATTTTTTTAATGTTACTTTTTTTTTCTGAGTCTGATTTAAATTTTCTTACTACTCCCATCATCAGCCAATTCCTTGTCATGCTGGATTATCATCTCCTGTCATTCACTGAAAGAAGCTGTTTCTTTTCAGATGAATCAGCTGTCTTAAAATTGACACAGATGCTGTTGGTGACCCTGAAACCTTCCAAGTAAAATGACTTGCTTGAAGTTAGTAGCTTCCAATGCAGTTTCAAATATCTTGCATTTCATATCCCTTTTTCAGACCCTTCCACCCTCCACACCGTTCATCTTAACTCCCGGGGGGCAAGTACATGTTTGAGTATGTAAATATTTCCCAAATGTGCCACCTGTAAACCAAGTACTTTACTTCATTTTTGTCAAGCCACAATAGGGCTCAGTTCTCCAGTTCGTTCTAGCAGCGCTCAGATGTAGAGGGTGTGTGGGTGGAGGAACAAGGAGCCAATTGTGGTTCCTTGTCAGCCACCTTGTCCCAGCAGAAGTTAGAGCAATAGGGGGTGTACTCCAACTTCTGCCACTAGCATGCAGTCACATTACACCAGTAGAGGAACAAGAGAAGTGGCCCCCTTTTGTCCACCCCCCATTCCAGACATGCTTTTGTATTCCCCCTATACTGGGGAGTGTTAAGAGAAGCTGGCACAGGAAATATCAAAATGAATGAAGTAGCTGCAGCGTATTCACTGTTGAGACAAGCTCATCAGAAACTCACATTTAAACACACACACACACACACACACACACACACACACACACACACACACACAAAAGAAGCATCCATATGAAATTGTTATTGGCTGCATCTCAAGGCAGATGAAAAGATGACATGCTGCATACATTACAAACTCCATGTGAGGATTAATGTATTTGCTAGGAATGACAGCCTCCATTTCTGAGCTACTACTCACCAAAGACACACTGATTCAGCAAAGCACAAAACAGCTGTTGCTGAGAGGGAGGAAAAGGTATTAATCTAAGATATACAAAAGGCTAGTAGGAAAGTAAAACTTTGCCTGATTTAAAAAAAAAGTTCTCATGAGTAAATACAGAAGTGTAATGTTGTTTCTTTCGGAACTAAACTGTCTTTGGGTTGATAAGTTACTCAGATCAAAGCACAGGTATAAGGACTCAGAAAAAAATGGCAGTTTAAGTTCAGCTAATTGTCTAATAGACTTTCTTTTGTTATGTGACTAGCATTCAAATCACCCCTGGACAAAGACAGTTCTGGGCATTTTTTTAGCTTTGTAGGAAGTTTCTTGACCTATAAAAAAAAATCTAAAGGCCTTAGGAAATAATGACCTGTAACATCCCACTTTTTTGTAACCCACTGTGTAAAGACGGTGGGTGTGTCATTAAACCTGTGGAGGGCCAATGCTATGCTTATAAATTACTCGTGCAGTGACCACTTGTGAATTCTCAAAGACCTGACTCCATGGTTTCTTATTTGAGAGAATGCCAAAAGGCTTGGACAGATCTTTTCTATTATTTAAAATATCTCCTAAACATTGTGAGAAACTGCAAGAATCACGATTTAATAGATGAACCACCACTGAAAACCAAAGAAGTCCATAATGTGCACTACCCATCTGTGTATCGTGCAATCTGTATTTAAAACTCTGGACTCTAATTGCTTTTCAATATGGGGAGTGATGCGAATGTCAACTCTTTGCACGGAAGTTGCTGAAGCACACTTCACAGAAACAACATAGGCTTAGTAATAGCTTGTCACTCATCACGGAGCTCCCCCTTCTATTTCAAAAGTAGGCCTTGGACATGGCAATTATACACTATACTCTATATCATCTTTGGAGAAAATAAAACAGGGAGGGCCAAATTCAGTGGTTGGGTAAGCTGACACAACATCCACTGATTTCAGGGAGAGTTGTGCCAGCTTACATCAAGGGTGAATTCAGCTTGGTAACTATTACTTTAAGGTGTCAGAGAAGGTACCATCAAAATTACATGGAGAGATTGGAGGCTGTAAACTGCTGAAAAGTCTAGAGAGCTGATTTTTAACAGCAGATGCATTTCCCACACAGAGGAAGAAAGATCTAAACAGTATACATTTTTTTTAAAAGCACTGACTTTACATTGTAAATGTTTAGTACAGGAAGGCTCCCCAATAAGCAATGGAGCTCAGAGAAGAAGGGAAAAGTTTTGACATATCCCACCTAGGTCATGTCTACACTAGGAACATGTATCATGTTACAAGCATTTAACCAATGTTTTAACTAACATGATGTTAAACATGATTTCACCCCAGTGTAGAAATAGACAAGTCATGTTTTAAAAAAATATGTTAGTCATTGTGCTTAACCTACCCTAGAGTTATCCATGACCAATTAATAAGTTTTTAAAACATTACTGTCCTGGTTACATAGGGTTGCCAACTTTGGTTGGACAAATTCATGGAGATTTCTTTAATTAAAGATTTATCTTTAATTCTTGGAGACTCCAGGAAAATCCGGGAGGGTTGGCAACCCTATGGTTATAATCAAAGCAAAAGCATATTTATTAATATACTAATTTAAATGCCTAATACATTTTCCCATTGTAAACATGATCCTATGCTGTATCTCCACCAGGAATTTTGGCAAAGTTTTCCTAACATTGCTAATGCTAATTCAGTTCCATCAGAAGTAGCAATGGTGGGAGTCCTAATTATAGACAAGGGTCCTGCACTGAGGAGGCCCTACAGAGACTGACACTGGACTTGGATTTTAGGGTGTTAATTCCCAGACAGGATTCAGAGGCAACAGATTTGGTGAGCAGAGCCTATTTAGGCTCAACAGCTTAAAAGAAGAGTATATTACAAAAGGAAATGCTAAAGGGGGTTGTGGTGACCAGAACACAGGCCGTGGAGTGCTTGGGAAACAGAGGAAGTACCCTTATTGTTTGCAGTCTGGGTGAAATCCTGGCCCCACTGAAGTCAATGGGAGTTTTGCCATTGACTTCACTAGAGTCAGGAGTTCACCTTTAGCATTTTGAAATGTACTGCTCATAAACCAGCATGGAAGGAACACAGCTAGAGACTTTTGCCAAGTTTGTGTCAGTTTGGTATAAACCAAGACTTCTGCAATAGAACCATAGCCAATGACTGTGCTTTTGGTTAAACCTGAGCTTCTGATAATCTTTTCTCTTGTTTTGTCCCTGGCCCTATTGCACTTGAATTTGCTGATCATCATCTCAACTCAAATGGCTGATAATGATTTTTGCATTGGAGGGCCACGTGAAACAAGAAAGAATAGCAGATTAACTAAATTATGATTGTTCATTCTCAAAATTATTGTGGAAATAATGAAGCAAAGACCAATATTTAGTTTATTGCATACATAAACCAACAGCCCCAAAAAACCCAAAGAGATTATCATGATTAAATCAGATTAGACTGTAAACTCTGCAAGGCAAGGAGAGAATCTTCTTATTTGTTTGCAAATACCTAGCATAGTTTTGATAACTGTATAGTTATTTAGTTGTAATTACTTTGCCTCCTATTTTGATTATGAGTCTTCTCATTCTACTCCTTATTTTATAGACTACCATGGAACACTATCCAAGTATGG